GCTCCTGCTGGAGTCTCCGTGTTATCCTCTGTACCTGATGGAGCCTGTTCAGGACCCGCTCGTTCACCTGCTCGATCTCCCTGCAGCGCCGACCCAGCGCCTGGTACTTCCTGCTATTGAGTTCCCGTTGGTGCCGCTGCTGGCCTTGGGCTGCCTCCTCCTCTTTGTCTCGCTCCCGGAGGCTGGAGCTGCCCAGAGCCCCCAGAGACGAACTCCACTTCGGTCTCAAGCTCGCACTCTAGGATGTGACCACCGAACAGTGGAGGCAGTGCCAGCTCTGAGCCAGGAGGTGCTGAGAACTCCTCAAAGCCCATGGCTGCCATGGTCCCCTCTCTCTGCTCCAGCTCCATTTCTCCCTGGCTCCCAGCGCAGAACTTCCAACCTTGCAAACCTCTAGGTTAAAGTGGCTCGCAAAATGACATGCCCCATCCGATTCCACGGCCAGGCACCCAGGCCCTGGCTGCTAAGCCTCCTGGGAGTTGCAGTTCTCTATTTCCGGCTCGCCTCCCTCACCCCACCCCCACCTGGAGTCCCGGCTGAAAGGCCCTGCTCGCTGGTGTAACACCGCTGCCAGCGTCTGAGTCAACTCCGTCTTTATTCCGGTCCCGACACCGCGCTGTCTGACCACGGAGACTCTCCACTTGGGAGGCCTGGTCCTCTCTGCAGACTCTCCACAGGCCCCGGGGGCGTGGCGGGCTTCCCTCTTTGCTCTTCGCTCGCCATGCCGGCCTTCACTTGCTGCTCCTGTGCCTACATATGCAAATTAACTGCCATCTTTGTTGGCGGTTAACCGCCAACTTTCTTGGCAGTAGTTAATTTGATCGCCCTGATTAGCCAATGGGAAGCGTAGCAAAGGTACAGTCAATTACCCTTTTTGTCTTTTATTAGATAGGACTAGAGGCCCAGTGCATGAATTTGTGCATGGGTGGGGACCCTCGGCCTGGCCAGTGATCAGGGCTATCGGGGCCATCTTGCCCAGTCCCTATCAGGCCCAATCGGGGCTGGCCAGCTAGGGGGAGAGACCATGGGAGGTTGGCAGGCCCCAATCGCGGCTGGTTGGCCAGGGGGCAGGGAATGTGGGAGGTTGGCCAGCCCAGGACACAAGAGGTTGGCTGTGGGAGTGCACTGACCACCAGGGGGCAGCTCCTGCATTAAGCATCTGCCCCCTGGTAGTCAGTGCGCATCATAGTGACCAGTCATTCAGTCGACCAGTAGTAACAGTCGCTTAGACTTTTATATATATAGATTTCTGTAAGATTGATGAAATATAAATTAGTACTGTTCTACAGGTTTTTCATTTATTCATCATTTTATCTTTCCATTAAGCAAATATTTACTCAATATTTGCTAAGATTAAGGTTCATACATGCATCTTCTATCTCCAGACTTCCTGTTCATTCTTGTTTCTCAATAGACCTATTGTCTTCCTTTACATGAATTCCCCATTACCTTCTACTCTATTCCTTTCTATGCACATGATGGCTTTCTCTCAGGAAAAAAAAAATGATATATCTTGTATTATTGGGGAAGCAACATGATTGTAGTAGTTTGTTTTGCTGATATAACAAATTACAATAAACTTAGTTGGTTAAAAGAACGCAAGTTTTATATCTTGCCATTCTGAAGGTCAGAAGTAAAAAAATGGGTCTCACCAGACTAAAATGAAGATGTTGGTTGGCAGGGCTCCATTTCTCTTGGGATGCTCTAAGAAGGATCTATTTCTTTCCTTTTCCAGCATTTAGAACCTGGTCACATTCCTTGGCTCATGGCCCTCCTCCATAGACAAAGCCAGTAGCCACCAGTTGAGTCTTTCCCATGATGGCCTCTAACTCTGTTCTGCTTTCTTTTTCCCCACTTAAGGACTTATGTGATTACATTGGGACCACCCAGATACTCCAATGTAATCTCTTTATTTTAATGTCAGGAGATTAGGAATTAGTCCCTCCTGGCCATGTAACATATTCATGGGTTCAAGTGGTCAGAAGTAAACAACTCTTGGGGCAATTATTTGCCTATCACAGGATGTACTGGGGGGGGGAAAAAACACATAGATTTTTTTATCAGATATTTCTGGTTTTGGATGTTTACTCTTGTTTCTATGTTATATTAGAGTCCCGGCGCAAGAATTCGCACATGGCATGTGGAGATCAGGCCCCAGCCTCGCAGGCCTGCAACCCTGCCTTGGCCTGGTGCTGCCCCATCACTTGCTACACCATTCCGCCTGTGGGGTGATTGGTTGGGCCCAGGATCCTCCGCCTGGCTCCCTCAGCACCTGGGAGCTGGGCAGCAGCCCCACCCCCTGCTGCCACCACTGGTCACCATCTGCGGGGTGATCAGCAGGGCTATTGGGCCCCCACTGGCACCCACCTTGGCCTGGCACCGCCTGCTCACCTGCTCCACCATCCTGCCGCAGTCCTGCTCTCATCAGGACCCATCGGGGCCACCAGCACCTTCACTGCTGCCTGCTTCCAGAGCCACATCACCGACACCCACCATGTTCTGCCCCCTGGTGGTCAGCGCACGTCATAGCGAGTGGTTGAACTCTTGGTTGAATGACCACCTGAGGGGAAAATTTGCATATTAGGCTTTTATTATATAGGATATTTGTGACATTGTGCATCATTCATAATTTCTCTAAGACTGAGTCTACAAGAAGAAAAGCTGTTACAAAGATTACATATCTATCTATCACACAGAAAACATTTAATAAATGATCTCTATTATAATTATTTAAAATCTCACCAATATTTTAGTTTTAACATCAGTCACATAGCCATAGGGCTCATTTATATGCACTCAAAGAAGCAAATATTTGTGACATCCATCAGACCACTTATCAGTCAATCCAACATCAATTGCATGCCAAGCATTGTGCTAAGCCCACCCAACATTGCAGATACCATATATATTGAGAACTTTAAAGATCCAATCAAAGAATTATTTTTAAATCATTCAAAATGTTATATATCATTTTTTTTGCATGGGGATTTAAATCTAAAATAATCTAATTTGTGAAACCAGATAGATTATTAAAGCACTTAACTGAAGTTGAGAAATAATTTTTTAAAAATAATTGTGAGGGGGAAAGAAACTCTGTGTTTCCTGTGTGACTAGTTGAAGTAGCATAGAGAGTGATATTGTTGGAATTATTTGTTACCACAGATTAAGTATGCATTTTCTGAGAATTTCTTATGACTTTTTATGGAATTGTTCATTATTGCTCCCACTTCTTATTTTGGGTTAAAGGAAAAAGTTTGTATGTGGGGAATATTAGTTCATGCTTTGCTAACATATTTCACATAGCATTATCTCTAGTTTGCGATTTTAAAAAACAAAAGTAATTACACACTATATTAGTGACTGCAATAAAAGAATTTAAGGAAAGAGCCACATATCTGGTGAGAGGTAAAGCATAATACATCTGATGGTTCTAAACATCATTCAAACAGAAAACAAATGACTGTGCCTTAAAATGGACCTTTCTCTTCTCTCTCTACCAATCAAAATTCTGTATAGCCTCAATTCATCCAGCATTAATCATTGCTTATTCTACATTTTCATAACCTTTATTGAACTATATTACAGCACAATATTATTTAAACTCACCTTCAGTTAGCTATTACAATCCTTCCATATGGGTCATATCTTGATTACCTGTGATTTTCCACCATGCAACATAACAGCTAATACTAATCCCCAAACATATTGGCACTCAGTAAATTCTAGCTGAATCAAAGTACTGTAGATCACTGTAGATCACTGAGTCAGAGATGAAAGAAATGCAATAATAAAGCTGTGAAACATCCTATATAATAAAGAGGTAATATACAAATTAACCCTCATGCCCTCACAAGATGGCTGCCTACTACTAGGATGGCAGGGG